TAAATTAATGGCAATTGGTCATGAGCTGTCAGTTTTCTCAGGAGTATCTGGGAGAACATTCCAGGAATTAAGAAACAGAGCATTTTCATCTTTTGCCTAATGAGGACTAATGAGAGAGAGTGTAATCATCTTATTTCTACCAAACAACCACACTATTCTCACTAACAAGAGGAGATGTAGAAAATATCCCCAGAGAAAAGAGGGCATCTCTCCACTTGTACTGTTTAATGTCAATAGCACCATCAACTTGCATACAATTACTCTCAATTTACTCCTGGTTCCAGTTCAGGAAGGAGATTCAAACCCAAAGAGAGTGGGATTTACTTACTAGTAAATACTATTCTAAAAAATGAGAGGGTGTACCCACCAGTTTTTTATTCTGAGTTGGTGCCATATGCTCTTCGTCTCGTTCCAGTGGAATAACAACAAACCTGCCTGTTCCCACTGGCAAAGATTCTCCCTTCTGCTGACTTCCAGCTCGGAAGTAGCCAAATTGCCTTCCCTGAGCCCCACATCCCACCTCACAGGCATTTCTGGATAAGAAGAAACCCCTCTGCCCTCAGCAGCAGATGAGTGTGCTGTGGGAAAGCAGCAGGAAGGAATCCAGTTCTTCTGGCTGTGGTAGTTCTCTGAACCTTTTCCACAAGCTGAGTCTCGGAATAAAACTTATTCCCTGGCCATAAAACACTTAGTTCTGAGTTTGAAAAAGAAGTTTTGTTTCAAATGAGTCATTCCTTCGTTAGAAAACAAAGCAATTTGTATTCATATTTACTTAGGAGAATAGATATGTTTCTAGAGGAGTAATCCCAGATGTCCACATTTTCACCCTATCCTGTTCCTTTCCAGCTCAGAGTATCCATAAGCATGTCTTGCAGGCAGGTACAGTTGAGGGAAGTGGAAGCAGAATGGTTCATGAAAACAGCAGTGAAATATCAATAGCATTTCAAGGTTGTGTCCTGGAGGTTGTAAATACCTGTAGGAGGAATATATTAAGTGCTGTTAGGTCTGTGTGCCTGTGGATATGGGAGAGATGTTACCCTTTTGTGCATCTTGTGTTTATGACATGGTTTTCAACTACTTTCTGATGACAAAGATGCATATTCTGCAGGTAAAGGATGAATTCATAGAGACCACATAATCAGAGTCTGCTTTATATTCCTACTTCAGATACGCTTGAATTATTTTTTTTTAACACTTCAGAAAATTTTTCAGACAGTGCTTCATTTGAAACCAGGCTTCTTGAACTGAGAATTTTAAAACATTGTTTTCCTTGACATTTTATTTCTGTGAGTGAAATATATTTTGAGTTACAAAACCCACGGTGTCAGAAAAAGGTGGTCTTAGTTCCTGGGATTCTGATATTGTCTTTTGTGTTGTTGCTGTTACTTGTAAAAAACAACAAGAGTACTCAGGTCCTGTAGAGAACTTTCCATTTTTAAAAGCAAAAGGAAATAATTAAACCTAATTAATTAATTATTTGTTCAAGATGTACCTTGTTATTATCCTCATTTTACAGTTAGGGGGAAAAAAAAAGAAATGAAGCCCAGGGACTGCTTTCCCATTTTCTTAAATGTGAAGTGACTTCTGCAGCCAGTGCAGTTTGTGGGAACTGGAAGCAGCTGAGAACCTGCTCACCTTCAACCAGGGCTTTGAGATCCTTCCCTTCCTAGGGGGCTGCACTTTCTCAGCCATGGTTTCTTTAAGGAACTGAGGTTGACTGTGGAAAGCTGCACTCTGGTGTTTGTGTGAAGCAAGGGACCCTCTTTTGGTTTCTGCCTCTTTTTCCTTTAGGGCTGATAATTTCATGAGTGATCTGTGTGTTGTAAGTGCTCTCTGTAGGATTTGATGCTGTAGGTGAAGTCTTGTGGACACAAAAGTTCAAGTCCTGCCCTTGGGGAGGGCTGGTGTGACTCCACAGGCTGGGTGGGTGCAGTCCTGGAGATGTCTGGGAGGGAGCATTGGAAGGGAGATGCAGCTTGGAGCATCTTGGGCATCTTTCTGCCACTGTTGTTAGGATCCACAGAAATGGAAATGTTAAATAAAACTACTCACTTGTATATAAACTCCTTTTGTCCTTCACTTTATTAGGTCCCTGATTTGCAGTTGCAATTTTGGAGTCCCTGTGTAATATATTTTAGGAAGCTTCAATCAGCTGGATATGCACCCTGGGACTGGAGCTGTGTCTGTGCTCAGCCCACTGGGAGGTTCATCAGCCATTCCCTTTCATGAGACAGTTCCATGACCTAACAGGCTTTGAAATCTCCACTGTTTTCTTTCAGAATCCATCTGTGTCATAATTTGGGGTTTTTTTCCTACTGTATGCTTTTTGAATTCCCAAATTCCTCATTATTCTTCTACTGCTAGTGAAGTAACCTTAATTTAACAGAGCTGCTTTTAATAATGTCCATGTTGCACTAAAGTCTAACACAGAAACTTGCTTTCATAGTCTTTCATGTGAATAATTATGTGCCTTAAAGCTGCTGTGTGGTAGTAAAATTAACTGTCATAATTAATTCATCCATGGAAGGACAGAATACCTCTGTCAACTCTGTATTTACAATAGTCTGAAAAGGGAAGGAAGAATTACTCTAGTTTTGTTGACATTGAGGTATGTGTGTTAGAGGTAGGGGGGAGCTTCTCTCCCACTGGCAGTTATTTAAAAATAATAGGTTATAAGGTTAATTGTTTCAAAATCTAATAGATACTCAGAAATAATTACCAGAACTAGTATTTTTGTAGTTTGTGTGCTCATGTCTCCAATCATCTACAATGTGTGTAAAAAATAATTGGATTTTCTTTAAAATCCTATTTAATTTTCTGTAATGATTGAGAGGCCACCATCCTGCCAGCTGGTGCTGCTTTTCAGGCTGCCCTTCACTGCTTGAAAATGGCTCTGCTTTTTCACCACGTTCTGCTTCCTCATATCCATATCCTGCCCTGTCAGTGAGCTCATTTGTAAAGGCTAATGAGCATTACCCCAGGCTGCAAAAGTTGTATTTGTTTCTTTTGACTTCCGAAGAACCTTTTTCTGCTCACACTGACAGTAAAAAAGGCCAGACCATACTTAAAAGTTGTATTTCCTCAAATGACAGAAACCAGCTGGATGGGATTTTTTTTTCTTTTAAAAACTTGGTTATTAATTTTCCAGATTGTCCACCTGGGAAGTTTTGACTATTCAGACTAGGAATAGGGTTGTCTTTATGCAATTTAACATCCTTGGGTAGAGGGACCTAGATATAGAGAGTATTCAGAAGCTTAATTGGGGTGTTCTGGCCCTCAATACCAATGTATTAGTAACAACTGTATAATTAACAAAAAGATATAAATCACTTACTGTTTACACAGTAATACTTAGAATACATGTGGATGTTTTAGTGATAATTTTGCATAGCTCAAATTTGACTATCAAATTTACGTCTTATCAAGCTGAACAGAGGCAAAATTATTCTGTAGATAGAAAACATCAAGAAAAAAATCTCTGTTTAGCATTCTTGAGCATCCACCATCATTTGCAAAATAAGGAGATTATGTCAGTTCTAGAATGGGAAGCAAATGATTTTACTAATATTAGTTAAAGTATGAAATCTTTTGTTCAGGTAAGTAAAGGCAGCAGAAATGACTTTGTGCTTGCGTGTGAGAACAAATAAACCCTTTCTAATCTGTAAGCAGATAAAAGTTTGAACAGTTTGTTTTTATCTTAAATGCTCCTTGCAGAGAATTCTGGTGTGTTTTAAAAGGCAGCACTAGAGCAGTGAAATCTTTAAAGAGAGGTGGATTTCTTTGCAGCAGCCAGGTAGAGGAAAGAACAAAACCAGATCTTAGGAATGTGGTTCATATACATCTGCAGCCTCATTTTTAAAATCCTGTGAATTTAAGTGTCTGAGTGACTTCAGGGTGAGAGGAAACAACCTCAGGTTGCACCAGGGGAGGTTTGGGTTGAATAAAAGAAAAATTTCTTTGTGGAAGGGGTTGTCAAGCCTTGAAACAGGGCAATGGTGGAGTCACCATCCCTGGAGATGTTTAAAAGACGTGTAGATGTGGCACTTAGGGATGTGTTTTAGTGTGGACTTGGCAGTGCTGGATTGGACTCAATGATCTTAAAGGTCTTTTTCAACCTAACTGACTCCATGATTCCAAGACTTCTGTTTTTTTCACCATGTGGACTGAGTATTAGTGACCCCTAAAGGTTGCCTGTGAACATTTAGCAGCGTTCCTGAAAAGGTGGGGCTGTCTTTGCTTTCTCCCCATCAAGCACCAGAGGTGTCTCTTCTTTAAGTGTTTGGCAGCACGAGTAACCACAACTTATGGTGAAGATTTAACTGGGAAAGAGCAGAAATTTCTCATTGCCATAAGGCTGAACTTCCTGAAGTTTAGTGCAGGGAGGGGTGTGACATAGGCCAGGGCTCACCACACCGACCAAAAGGGATAGGGGAAGTTAAAATCCTTTTAGCTGCCACACCCAGCCTCTTGAAAAGGGCATTTAAGCTTTAGTGATATTTAGAGGAACCAAAATGGTGTTTTAAGGAACTGTGGCTCTTGGAACAGGTCTGTTTTCACTGGGACCAGGCCATCAATTAGCTTCATAGCGGCTGTGGGATTTGAAATACCACCTTATTGAAAGAGCTTTTAGATGGAAACCATACAACCATTTTCCTGCAGAATATAGGACATTCCTATTTTGCTCTTTTAAAAAAACTTAGCTAAGGGAACCTTCTGGTAATGCAAATGATGAGCATAGTCTAGAGAAGGCTTCTGGTGTGAGGTAAATTTTTTTCCTTAAACTTTTTCCTTAGCGCTTCAGGTGAAGCAAATTGATTCACCTCCTCCTTAAGGCTGCAAATGTTCCTTAAAAAATACAAACAACAGAAAACAAATGGCTTCATCAAGTTCCAGCTTATGAAATCGTAGCATATCTGAGCCTCCCATGACAATGGAATTGCTGAGTCGGGCGGTGCTGGATACTCAGCTTAACCAGACTGCTGGAATTGCTCTTCCCACAGATCTGCACCCCGGATTTGGTGGTGTTCCTGGCATGTTCCAGCCAAAGGCTGAAGGAGAGGTTACTGAAGCGTGCGGAGCAGCAGGGGAGACCTGATGATAACCTGAAAGCCACCCAGAGGAGACTCATGAATTTCAAGCAGAACGTCGTCCCCCTGGTGAAATATTTCCAGGAGAAAGGGCTGATCATCACAGTAAGTCCTTCAGGATATGCCTCTGAAACCCTCATTGTCGTGGTTGTACTTGGCTTCTTGTACCTTTTGCTGTAAGACAGGCTGGAGGAGTCAAATTATGTTTTAGCTTAATACTATTGTTATTTAAGAGCTTAATGAAGACAACAAATTCATTGAGCAGTTGACAACAGTTGAATTATTGACGTGTTCTAAATTACAGATTGTGTCTGGTTGTACTAATGCACAGAACTTGGTACCATGAGAGCACAGATGGCCCATTTTGTTTCTTTTCCTTACCTAAATAACCTGTGTAGTTCACATTAGTGTGTTCTCCTCACAGCAAGTGTGACTAATTCTGTGTGCTGGTCAGACTCCTGGGCTGAGATCCTTAATTGCAAAGTCATCTGTTGATATGGGGAACCTTAATAATGAACTTCAGCAGCTTTCTGAACTTCAGAATGAAAATCCTGGGGAATTATTACATTGTCTTCTCCAGAGAGTACGTGTTCTGGCTTAGCATTGTGATCAGTTCTGGTTTTAAGGATGAGAGGACTGGAATTCTTGGAAGTGTTTATTCCTTATTGAGCAAGTGGGTGTTTTGTGATGTTTCTGTAGTGCTCCTCCTATAGAAAGCATACTTAGCTCTTCAGGAAAAATGTGCCTTTGTGGATAAATCATGTGGGGCATCTGGGTAGAATTGCATTTCTGTGATGGGACTTGTAAAAGAGAAGATTTTTTTCCTATTCAAGTTCCTTCTACTCTTTAATTCTGTTTCTTCAGAGTTGTAAAGATAAGTCCACCTTAGATATCCTCTTTTCTTTTGAAGAAAGCAGATGTTTAGGATGGGTATGGAAATGACAACATGGCATGTGAACAGTATATTACTGTCCACTAAGGAAAAAAGAAACAGCCTATTTTCACATAAAAGGAAATACAATTTTGCATGCTGTTTCCCTACAGAAGGAGGAAGAAAGAAAGAAAATAGCATTGAGCCTGCTGCTTATAATGCTGGACCTGGAAAACAGTGAAACACTGTGCAGATGGGAGCAGTGCAAGGACTAGAACAGCATCAAATAGAATTACAGTAGCCTGATTCCTAGAGGAGTAAATCCTTGAGGCAAGGTCAGGCAAGGTCAGTGTTGTCCAGGAGGAAATAAAAAGATTTACATTTTTCTTACATCTTTACCTGTACCTTGTCACTGCTGTTCAACACTCTAAATCTGGGACATTTCTTCTAACTAGCATCAGGATCCTGCTCAGGGGCAAGACTGTTTGTCTTATGGAGTGTTATAATTTTAGATTCACAACTCAAATTTTATACATCTGCTTAAATATGTTGTTTTTCATCAGTAAACAAGCTAAAAGAGAAAATGAAAATTCACTGAAATATGACTAAATATGATTAATAAGCAGACATTATATATATATATATATAATTACTGTTAGACACTGTGTAAGCAAGAAATAAAAAGCTGAATTCCCGAAGAAGATTCATTTTTGTGCTCCAGCAGTTACTCCATATTGGTTTGAACATATTTTGGTTAATTGAATTAAAAGCCACATTCTTCTTCCAGATCTTACTGGTCAGGTTGCTTAGGTGTAATTCTTTCCCTTCATCTTTTTTTTCAGTTGATCTTTGATAATTTTCTGCAGTACCTGGCTTGTCCTTGTTTGGTGCTCTGTGTGCCTTGTGTTCTCAGTCTGGGCATGGTATACCTGCTCTCAGAGGGTTGATCCTGTTTGCTGCTTGGAAGGAAAGAAGTGAGGCCCCCACCTACAGTACCTCTAAGAAATACAGCTCTGTCCTTTCTGAAAAACTCCCTCTTTGAAATAAGTATTTGTAAACTTCATTATAATTAGGAGAAGTAAAGATCTGATATTTTCATGAACACACAGTCTGTGTTTAAAATTCATTTTAGCAATCTGTCACTAGTCTTAACAAATCAGAACCTGACTTTACTTAACTCGAATTGGAATTCAGAAGGTATGGAGACTGCAGTAATACAGTTTTGGACAGGGAGTATGTAAATAGATGAATATGCTGGAATTTATTGTTTCAGTAACTTTGAACAAAGATTAAAGCATTATGTATTGTTTACCTAGACAATAACTAACACACCAGTTAGCTGGTGGGGGAGGAGATGTTAACTGGATGAAATTATAAAAGAGAGAACACGTAAGTGCCTGGGTGACCTCAGGTGTTTTGAGGACTTCAATTCTGAACACCAGTTCTTCCCCTCTCCAGTTTAATTTGACTGTAATCTGGTGTAGATATTGGTGTCTTTATTGGAGAGGAGATCATTGGCTTCCAAAAATCTTTCAGTCAACAGTTCTAAGAGAGCTTGGCTGTTCTTTGTTTGGTCTGGATGGAACAAAAAAATGTACAGAGCTCCTCGTGGTAGCAGTGGAAGCTTCTCCTGCTGGAGACAGGATCAGGTCCAGTCTGCCTTATTTATAATGATTCCATGTAAGCACAGTGCTTCAGTGGCAGCCTTTTTGTGTTAGTAAGTCTGTGTGCATTTGGGGGTGGGGGGGAAAGGACTGGCTTTATTAAGACAAAAATACTAGACAGGAAAAGAAGGCTCTGGTCCTTATTTAAGCAGCCAGAACGAGACAGCATCGTGTGGCATACATGAAATGCATATTTCTCTGATATCTTCCTTGTCCCACTTGTCCTTTTAGGGAATTTACCATGCCTATGAAAACATTAAAATGACATTCAGATTAGTCAGAGAAGTAAAGGGAACCCAGAAAAAGCAGCTGAAGCTGGAAACGGATTTTAAGCACAAATTTAGAAGTTAAACAGTGACGGGTGAGGGAAGGAGCTGTCTGCCCTCATAAGCATCAAACAAGCCTAATGGCTGTCAACTGTCACAGAAAAATTCCCCACGGAGCTGCATTATATAAATTTTTCTCTTGTTTTGGTTAAAAAAGGAATTTTGCTATAGGATTTGCACATTGACATGAGCTTTATCTGAAGGCTGTGACTTACCAAAACGCTGATGAAAATATCAGTTATAATCTCTTTCTAAAGTTTCTGTGTTATCATTTAGCTGCCCAACTTGAGGTGTTGGTTTGGGCTTTTTATCTGTTTGTTTGTGAATGCTGATTCCAAAGGACCTACCCTTACTCAATCTTCTTTTAACTTTGGGCCTGTCCCTGGAGAAATGTGGGTCAATCAACTCTCAAGGTCAATCCAAATCTTACTGGTAACAAACTGTTATGTAAAGATGTGATAGAAACCTCCACCCTGCTTCCAGGTCTAAATGACAGCCCCTGGCAGGCAACTTATCCCAAACCAGAATCCAGCTCAGAGAATCTTCTCCCTGGGGAGGAACACACATCTGAACACAGAATGAGTAGCTGCCTCTGTTTTTATGGTGGTACTTGCTCTCACCCTTGCAGTTTTGCATTAAACAGTCCTTAAAAAGAGAATTTTAAAAGTCCCACTCCTCCTTCCCTGAAGTGGTGCTGGATGTGGGCAGCTGTTTGTGGAAACCTTGAGACCAGAGGTCCTGTTTGAGATTCAGGAATTTTGCTGTACAATTCCTAAATCTTTATCTGGCCCCACGAATGTATAATGCTTATAAAAACATTAAAAAATTTCTATTCAGGGAAAATGAGAGGTGGGATGGGAAATAATGACTATCACTATTTCACTTTTTGCTAATTCAAGGCAAGGACTTGAATTGAAGCCTAGGGAGTTGAAGCCTAGATATCTGTTGAAGCAGATCTCTGCTGTCACAGAAAGCTGTTATTGAAAATTAAGGCTCTCTGTATCTCTCCTATATTTCATAGCTCTGTTGCAGAAAAACTGGGCTGTGAGAAAGAACCTGGAACTGTTTCTTGTAAAACTGCTGAACTAGAGGAAGTTTATTCATGTTCTAATCACTGCTAGGTTTTACACTGTGTCTCAACGCTATTTATGTGTTACTGTTTTGTGAGATATTTTGAAGAACACACAGAAGAAGGTATGTAAATGAGTTTTGTCTAGAAAGAAGTCTAAACAAACTGTTTATAAATATATGCACATTTTATGTGGGAAAGATAGATGAATAATTTGTGCATATGTGGAAGCATGTACACCGTAAACACTTTTCCAAGCTTCAAAATATTTTCAGCCTCCCATTTTATGATTTGTCAACAAGTTAAGTCTGTCAGAAATGCCAGTGTCTGCCAGGGAATGGCCAAGCATGGAAACTTGCCATCTGTGTCCGTGCAAGCAAGCAGAGAAACCTTGAGGGTAGAAAGTCTTTGCTGAGGTGAATAGCATCAGTGCAACACTATGTTCTTTTCTAACTTTGGAAGCATGGCAATTTAAATAAATACCTTCTTTTGGAAAGCTGCCCTGCCTCCTGTACGCAGTTGGTAGCTTGAATGAAGTGGAAGACTTTGAAAAAAGAAATAAACTTGGACAAGTCTGGCTGTAGAATTAGCCAGTGATGAGTGCATGGGCCAAGCTGATTTAGGAGCTCCAGAAAGAGAGGAGGAATGCTCTTTCTGAAAGCCATACTATTCTGAATTTTCGCATTTCTGGCGCTGTGATAGCTGATACATGTTTCAAATTAACAGACGGGTTTTTTTACAGATCTGATACTAAAGCTGAGATAAGTAATTAAGCCAAGTTATCATGCAGAGAAATGAACCGTAAGAGATGTTTAAAATAACATGTCCTAAATGTTCTTCAAGTTATTTTAAATGGTTCATCTTTAGGTAATTAAGCTGTGTCCTTTGGGTGAATATTAGCTTCTAATTTTGTTCTTGTAGTTACAGTGATGCTTAAAGGAGATTAATTTCTCTTATTTAGATGAGATATATTAAGAAACCAGCTTGGAAAAAATGCCTCCCTCATCTCTGGGAAGACCATTTCATTGGATCAGGAATATTTGGCACCCATAAGCAAATTTTCCTGTCCTAAACGCCCCCTGATTTTGTGAACATCCAGCTGAAGAACCAAAGCTGCATTTCAGCCCTGCTTTGCAGTAAATGATAAAGTACCACTTTCTGACCCAAAGTTCCAT